CCTTCTTTCGGCTGGTATACGTGCAGGATATATATTCAAGCTTTTGTCACGAACTCGAAGCCTTAGTCTTGAGAATTCGTCTAACTGAAATTGTATTCTTCCAGTCTTCATTTCCCTCCAATTTATCCTGACTTTTTATTTGTTACATTTTCCCTTCTCTTTACACTCTTTCTCATTTGTTTGATTTTAATTTATATATATATTGTATATGTATTTTTACGCGCGTGTCCAGAAAATTGTCTGGTACTCCGGCTATGAAATATCGTAAAATAATCTTGAACACGTTAACGCTTTTTTTCCCTCCCTTTTTTTCGTTTTTTTTTTTCTTTTTTGCGAAACAGCGATCCTCGCTCGATAGCAATTCCTCGCGACGATTTTTCAAGCACGTTCGTGCATTATATTTTATTGCGCCTTTTAACCAATATATCTCAACCACTTGGGAGTCGATGTGGCGTGCGACGCGCGTGACGTCCTGGAAGATAACGCTTCGTCCTTTTCTTTCTTTTGTCTTTCTTCCGTTTTCTACTATCTCTATTTTCCTTTTTCCTTCTTTTTCTACCATTGACTCCCTCTTTTTTCCTTCCTTCTCAACTATATCATGTATACACAAAGAGACTCATCTCTTTCCCTTTCTCTCTCTCTCTCTCTCTCTCTCTCTTATATATATTTTTATTTTTTTATTTTTAATCTTAACTTTTCTATGCGAAAGATTTTTTGCTTCCTGTTAGACCAGCACCGTGTCTCGTCTTAGATAACTGTCCGGGAATATTATAAATTTTCAAAACAGTACACTGGCCAGATAAGAACGGAATCTAAACGAGCTCACATTAACGCTACGGTACCGTCGAGTTTCTACCGAGTAGACCGAGGGTCCCCATAGTGATTGATAAGCTGATCCTTCCAGACGATAGCTAACCTTCTTGAGGGGAATGAAATTTAGGACACTCAAAGTACCACGATGTATTACTTTCGGCATACGATAGCGAACACGTCGAACTAAAACTTTCTTTTTTTTTCTTTCGCCCTCTACTCATTAGTAAAAATAAATTTCTCTAATCTTTCATTGAATTCAAATGAAGGTAGAAATAAATCTCGATAATTAAACAAATTGAAAAACGTGGTGGTGGTGGTGGTGGTGGTGTATGTTCAGAGTTAACATTTTATTCCTTCATTTCGGAGGAAAATGACCAAAAAGTCATATTGATTTCGGAAATGAACTTATTGTTCGTGTTATCGTTGGTAGTTTGCTTAGTAGATTCGATTGGAAGGAAAGACGAGAACGAGTAGTTTTGTGGAACGTTCGCAGGAAGACTCAACCTGCCATGGGAGTTAATTCGCCTGGGGTGCCAAGAGAAAGGGGGACTATGATTCGGTACGCTACGAAGTTTTCTATTCGCGACGGTATCAGCCGTTGGGAATAGGAACGTCATGCGAACTGTCCCAATGCAATTAAGATAAGCACCGGCGATGTTTATAAATGTTTCGTTGAGCGCGCGTATTACGAGCAACACGCGACCCATACAGTTGCACCTTACACTCTTACACTTACATTTTCCTATGATTTCACGAACGAAAACAGAAAGACTAGGTGGAAAGAAGTGTGGGAGGGTGCGGGGGTGCTGGAGAAGAGAATCGTGGCGCGTCTCTTCTATCCGAGAAAAAGCAAACAGTCGACGGCGTGACTACCCGCAGGCTACTGGTCCTTACAAACTTTCGGACGCCATTCTCCTTTTTGCTTTCAACCCCTCTTTTTTCCCCCTTTCTTTACCCTTTCGCGACGAACAACCTGCGTGTGGTTTAACTTCTGTCAGATTTCAAGTAATATTTTGCACAACTACAAATCATAAAAAAAAAAATAACAAATGATTTTTCTTCCTTCTGTGTAATTTTTTTTTTCTTTCTATTCCTATGGTAAAGTAATAAAAATGAATTTCTTTGCGAATTCATTTTCTAGTCAAATGTATGGGAATGATGTAACATTGAATTTGAGTTGAAAATTGCGAGGCAATTCATATGACCGGCCATGGTAGGGTTTCGTGTTAAGGTAGACGTACGATTTGGTATTGCATGAAAAATTATGAGACCGTCTCTGGGGTCGGCTTCCACTATCATCGTCGTCGTTGTCGTTGTCGTCTTCGTCGTCGGTGGTAGTATCATCGTTCTCTCCTTATCCTACCCCTTCCATTTGTGCTTGCTCGCCTCATCGACGTAACTCCTTGCTAAGAAACTGCTGCCGGCATGACTCTGGCTGGCATCCTCGTGAAATTGCGTCTTCGAAGCCTCGCCCTGAGATTAAAACGTCTCGGATTTCACGAGGCGGAACATGGAACGACTACGACGACGACGACGACGACGACGACGAAGAAGGCAAGCGATTTAAATTTCACACGCTAGAACGACGCGACGGTGAACGTGACGGAAACGGATGCTTGACTTTCTCCCAGCTATGGGTTATTCGCAATTTTTCTTTCCGATACGATCGAACCTTACTACTTTTTCCATTTTCTTTTCTTATCGTGTTCTCCTTCTACGATAAGCTTTCTTCTTTTATTCTAGCCTTCTTTCCATATCCAATTGTTTGACCTGATCCACTTTAATTTAGGATACAAGTATTTTTATATCTAATGAAAATATCCGAAGTTCTGCTAGCGCGCACAGGTTTTTTATTATTTCATTTTATTAATTGTAACACGCGCTGATTTTTAAATACATTCATCAATTTTTGAAGGAACGCTTCTCAAATATCAACGCTTATTTCATTAATAAATCATTCCCTTCGTGTTTGCTGATCATTTTTTCAATCACCCCGTCAAATATGCCACTTTTTTCTCTATTCTTTTTGGCCGTTTATTTCTACGAAAGTTACTGAATAATTAGATAAGAGGAATGAGTAAGTCGTTCGTGATAATGTTACACAAAACGTCTCGCACGTTTCTCGTTCATCGTAAGAGAGAGAGAGAGAGAGAGAGAGAGAGAAACTTGTCCAAGTGCACCCACGAGTCTTGTACAGCGCGTGCTTGCTTACATCCATCTCAGTGCGTTGAGATAGCGAAATGGCGATCAGATAGGATGGAGAGGCCCTTTGAATAAATCCTCAGACCGATAGGGAGGCGGTCCCAAGGGGTTTGCTCGACAATGCGATAGCCGATAATGGTCTGGTTCAAGCGCCGTCCAATTCTGAGGTTAATTACCATCGTTTTAACCCGTTGTCGTTTTCCTCCTCGTATCGGAACCGAATTCCTTCTTAAAATCGGCTAAACTTCTGCGATGAATTAATTTTATATCGATAATCAGAACGCGGCGATATTACTACTAGTTGTAGTAAAAAAGTTTTCTTACTTTAATAACGGACTAACGCGAAGATTTTACTTGAGATTTTTTTGTTTGCGAGGACGAAGAATTATTTAATTATTGTAATTAAAAAGTAATAGTGTAGGTGGTTCGGAGAAACGTTTAATAGCGAATCGTAATTAAGAGAAAAAAATACAAAGTTATTTATATCGAATGAGAGATAACAAGCTGAGTCTAACTAGTCCAAAGCTTGCGTGAGAAAGGCAATACGATGTACGGACAGGCTGTTTCCGTCGCAACCACGACGTTATTATCTTACCAAAATGATAACGCAAAGATCGAGTCTACGATCCGTACCATCGTACATCTTTCATGCTATATATATACACAGTGATTCAGATACTCCACGTTTCAAAACTTTAAATATGTTGTATTTCTGGATAAAGGCTGTCTGCGGCATTCATACTTTATAGGAAATAAAATATTAAAACTATTTAAGCGCCCCGTCCAAATCAAATTCTCGAATGATCAAATATTTAGTTAAGTGGATCCAAATTTGTGCCACTTTTTTTCCGTCAGAACTGAAACTGTGCTCTGTATTCTGTGCTGTGCTGTGCTATGCTATGCTATGCTGTGCTGTGATGTGCTGCACTGTACTGTGCACCAATCGTCCCGCTCGATAACACGATAGCCGAAATAATTGAATTTACCTCGATTCAATATTGGGTTAGAGGTTGACTTGATTTCATCAAACGTTTTAGTCGTATATTAGGAGCCCTTCTTATTTCTATAATTCAAGGCACTCGAGCAGTGTTCGATACGCTTCAACGAACTCGCTTGGTCGTAGTAGAAAAAGAGGAAATATCCTTCTCTCTATGTCACAAAGTTTCCTTTTTCTTTGGACTTCCGTATAGGAGAGGAAGACCATGAAAGAGAAAAAGATAGAGTGAGTGAGTTTATTTTCACGTGACACGCCCAACCTTCGGTGAATTCGGTTCGGTCGAAACTGCGTGAGATGAGAACGTTTCCGTCGAATCGTTGAAGTAAATGGGACCGCCCCTTGCGTTACCAGCGATACACGTTCCTGGATCTTGTAAGAATTACGACGTAAAACTTGTTTTTCTTTCTTTTTCTTTTTCTTTTTCTTTCCTTTCTTTTTTTTTTTTCTTGTAATGCGTCCCGTGCCGGTAATTACGCAGCGAAAACTTTTCAACCGTCCCACCTATTTCTAATTACGTTAACACACTGATCCAAGTCACGTGATTCTTACATAAAGACGATTACGTTTGACCATCGAGCAGAGCAAGCAGCTGTGCCCGCCATTATTCTACGGTGATCATCTTTCGAAAAATCAGGCTCCACCCTGAGTTTGCTCGAACGATTTCAACGTTCTAATTTTTATCCACTCGGATCGACCAAATTGTAATTTCTACTTGCACGGGCATACCGTAGAGAATGAGCTTAGAAAATGGATTGGTGTTAGATAGAATCCGGGTATTTTTAGTCGTTCTAATTATATGCTTTTACCGCATCTTACGATAACGAATAGCACGAATAATGTAACGACCATTTTCGTGCCTATTTCGAGGATCGATTGAAAGTTTGGAAAGTATAAAACACAATGAAATGAAGTACAATCTGTAGAAATAATTTGACGCCGTCTAACGATCGTTTATTTTCTATTGAATTTGTTTGTGCGTTTGTTTCAGGGTGTGCATTTCTCACCTACTACAGCCGTGACAGCGCCATCAGTGCCCAGAACGCTCTACATGAGAAGCGGACTTTACCAGGGGTGAGTGATTACTCATTCGTCTATTTCCAAAAGAATCCTAGTTTTGCCCAAGTTACTTATATTTCGCGACATTATCTGAAATCTTGAACAAATGTTTTTTTCTTTTAAATTTTATATTAGTCGATCAGCCACAACAAGCAGTATAATCCGTAAAATTAAAATAAAATATTCCAAGAAGTATCTCGTCATCGGTGGTGCACCCATTTATGTTGCCATCAAGGGCACGAGTAAATTATGCATCGCGTAAGTTGGCATCGACCGATTAATTTGTTTTTTTTTCTTCTTTTTTCTTTCGTTAAAAGTGGGTTACGGATAAGAAGGAGAAATCTGAACTAACATCTTACATTAATCGCGATTTAAATGATTCGAGAGACGATATTTCGAAGAAGGAATAAATTCGACACGTAAAATTCGTATTATTTGTTATATCGAATTCGATTCGTATACGTACTAGCATCGATACGTTTAATGTTAATCGAAAACTTGACGAATGTTAAATGCTCGACAGAATTTGAAATAAATTAAATGTAAGAAAAAAGTGGAAGAAAGGGGGAACAAAAAAGCGGAGATCTCGTGTCTCATTATTTCTCATTGCTCTCTAAGAGGATTATAAAGCAATGTAATATCTTGAGAAAATTTTTCTCTCCGGGACATATTTGTCGAGAAGAAAGTTAACCTCTTCGATGAGAGACGTTAACAGATACTTATCGTTGGAGCGCGCAGAAATCGCCGTATGGCGTTTCCCAGGATAATTCCGGCGATTCGTCGAGCGATCCGGAATATTAAAATGGCCTCGACGTGACAAGTTAATCTCTTAACGTCGAAAGGGTAGTTAGAGGCGCACTGGGGACGAAAAAAGGAAGGAAGAAAGGAAGGAAGGAAGGAAGGAAGGAAGGAAGGAAGGAAGGAAGGAAGGAAGGAAGGAGGGTGGGAGGGAAAGGAAAGGAAAAGAAGAAAAAGGGTCGCGCAGAGAGACGTTGATGGTAGTGGAAAAGGGCGAAGGGTGGACCAAACCAAGCACACGATGTATCATCGGACTTTCCTTTCTCTCCAATTGTCTCTCCTTTTATTCCCAAGACTCCAACACAAATGCCAGTGCTGGCTATACTTATCCTTATTTTCCCGGCGTCAAGGATCGCTTTTGTCTACACCTACAACGTGATACGAATCTTCATTTTTACCTATAGCACAAAATTATATAGGAAGGATTTCATTAAACGAATAATACTAGGGTCCGAAATTATTATTTCTCGATATCAAGCGTTCCACCCTTATTAAAATATACGATTTCTTTGACTCGTGAACAGGGGATCCCGTAATTGATGGATGCTTGTTCGATTAGCCCAATGTGAAGTACGCGTTTGTTTTTCAATCGCGATAAAGTGTTATTATAAAAGTGTAGTGTTAGGATTAGTTTTTTTGTTACTCTCGAAAGTTTGACGTCGATCTTTGTCCCGTCTGTACAAAGCTGAAGGATAGCAGGAGCCGGCAGTGAACGCTGCTTAACTGCCAGAGCAGTGCCAACACGCCCCTTCCCATTATCCGTTACTACCCCTTGGAAGTCCGTAGCTAGTACTGGCGTTATGTTTCGTTAATCTATCCCCGAAACAACGCTGCTACGGTCTTGGCACCGCTGCCAGCGGAAATCGTTTTAAATGTTATGCCGAGAGATGCGCCGGGGGCTCCGTTGAGTTATGACTTTATGAAGAGACCCGAACGCACCGTTCCGGCCGCGCGTTTCCGCATGCGTACGGTTCTATCTTTCTCCTTTTGTATCATTCTATTTTAGAGATGAGAAAAAAAACGACCTATCCTACCCCCGTTATTCAAAACTTTTGTTAGTCATTTATTCGAAATTTCGTTCACCCACGCTAATGTTCCATTGCCAAAGCTTTTTTCTTTTTTTTATCCTCTTATGCATTTTAGTGAATGATAGTAGTATCGTTAAATCACTGACGGAGTAAACCATTTTTTACATTTTCTACCTGGTTTTACACTTGGTCGTTCCAAGTGTTGCGTGGGCTTCTTAATGAAGCCGATTAGTTTGAATTTTCGGCTTGCTGCCATTGTATTTCGCCAGCGTAATGATGATCTACATTCACCGGTTCGCGCACGTTTCTCTGCTCTGCCTATGCGCGTAATGCGCGATGGTCTACCCTTTTTGCGGCTCAGCCCGGTGTAATGACAAAATGTAAATTACTACGGGAACGCGTATAATCGAGCATTATCGCGTCCGATTTATGCGACCCTTTATCAAAATCCTCATATAAAAGGAATTTGTTGTAGGACCGATATTCGCTCACCCAGCCAGACTTTCAGCTTGATGCATTTGGGATGTGTCCTGTATTACGGTTATACGCCATCAATTTTCCGTTTATGATACCGCGCAGAAGAGACTTTTTGGAACATCGTTATTGACCAATGAATCATCCACAACAATTTCTTCATATGATTCACTTTTTCTCCTACTGTTATCGCAATTCTGAATTTTTCAACATTCTTATCAATGAAACGTTCATTAATCAAACTTTCCTTTTTTCCTTTTTCCTTCCCTAATGTTTTCATTTAATAAAGCAACCAAAGATCAGACATTTTATGACGAAGCAAATCCAATAGGCTACGGTTTAGTGACTCGACGCCACTCAGTTACTATGAAACAATGACGTCGATACGACGAGAACGCATTAAAGGTTTCATTTTAGTAGCGATTAAACGAGGCCTATCGTAGGCACCTTTACGATCCTGTTTATTCGTCGATTGGCTAGATCAAAGTACTCATATCTGGACACACCTGAGGCCATAACTCGAGCCAAGCAGTCGAGTCTTCATAAACACGGATCTCAAGGCGAACACCCGCCAACTCCGTTAAACAAGCAATAACAATTGCTACGTTGCTTGGCAAGCTTGGCTATATTTAGCCTTGCTTACTGAGTTCCTTTGCACGTGTGCACGCAAATGTATTCAATTGTGTATATCCCTTCTCTTTCGTTCATTTTTTATATAAATTTCAGCGTATTTTACAAAAAAAAATGACCATTCTGATGCAAAACAAATTTAATATCAAGATATTAATTTAATTATATATTCAAAAACTGTTTGGCATGAGACGTGTTAATTTGAATAGATATTTTGCTAACGTAAATTAGATTTAAGTAAAACAGATAGCAAAGCAGTTGGATTCTCGATTGGATACTATCGACTAACCGGAATGATATACTCGTAGGTTGTTGATAACGATCTAGGAGAGAGAGAGAGAGAGAGAGAGAGATAGAATGCGGATCGACGTTCAATAAACTACGCAATGGCGTGATCAGTAGGATCAGTAGGAGACACTACCGTGAACGATCCTTATCCATATCAGGATAGATTCGCTCGAAGGGTTTGATTGAACATTCGCGTGCAGGACGGTGGTCATCAACGTGATTATAACTTTCTCAATCTTTCTTCGTGTTCTCTTCTTTGGAAAATGATTGAGAAAGCTTAGCGAGAAGAAAATTGGATTTTTATTTAGCTAACTTTTCTCCGCACGCTCGATCTCGTTCAATTCCTCGATGATGAACGAAATTTCTAGAATAGAAAAAGGGCCAAGAGTATATATAATTCTTCTTCCTTTTTGTGGATATAATTTTTTTATCATGCATTGCGTGAGACGATATTCTTCTTATCACACACACACACATTTGATCCAACAAGTATCTTTTTCTTTCTTTCTTTCTTTTCTTTTCTTTTCTTTTTTTTCTTTCGAAGCTTCTACGTAACTGCGAGTTTCTCGTTGGTAACGTTTTGGTTCGATAAAGCTTTCCAAATTTAATTCATGTTTATTTACCTTGCCTCGGATACCCGGCCTTCTGCCTTAGCTGCGAGATGTTGATCTAGTCGGCCCCCCTAACATTAACAGATCGCCAGATGTTACTACAGGATCGTCCATATTTGCCGTGTGACACGGGACTTGATGTACGCGTCGGAGTTCGTACATTCGTTCGGAGAAGATATGCCGCTTTGAGAAATATCGATCAGCTCGTGTTATCGTTTAAAGAGTAATTCCCTGGGTTAACTATAAAGCTTATATTACGTTTGGCTTAATGCGTTTAATGTGCCTTGCGCCAGTCATTTATTTTACATTTTATTGATAGCGTACCTGGAATAACGAGCTCCTCAAGTTAAACTTCCAACTCGCTTTAACGCGTTCCCTATCTAGCTTAAAGCTTTTACGTTGCAAATGATAATGTAAGCTCGCTTTTCGAGTATATCATTATAATGTAACTTGTAAAATGAGCTTTGCTAATGTCATTTTAATATACATCGGTATGAGATCGCTCGGACTGTTACGTTTTCACGATACGTCGTTTATTGATAAACGGGTAGGCGAATAATTTTTAAGCATCTCGTGTATGTTGACTTCTGAATGTTGCTTCGTATTATCGAGCAGGTTTTAAACGAGTTACCAGAAATAAGGAATAAAAGGTACTGTTTGACATAGTAGAAATTTGCATAAGTCAAGCGATAACCGAACGCATGCAAATGTTGTAGAAAGGTAGAAGGGTAGATGTAAAAAAGAAAAGAAAAATACACACACACACATATTACACTCGACAGGTAAAATAAAAGAAAAGAAAAGAAACGATGTCGCGTTGGTGTCCGTTCTTAACCGGGCATTTTTAGCGCACTACTCTAACGAAGTTTTTGCGATGTCAACAGCGTGCAATTATGCCACCCTTTCGAATCTGATGAAGTTTAAGCGATACTAGTTGGCGTCCCGATCCAAAATTCTCGAAGCATGTATAAATACTGAAATAAAAAGAAATAAAAAAAAAGAAAAAAGAAAAAAAAATAGGAAAAGAATGGAAACGTAAGTTTAGAAAGGAGCGCTTATCAGCTGAGCTTTTCAACGTCGATGGCGTCGTTCCGTATAGGAGTTAACGACGACGGTTCGTTAAAGATAACGTCTACGGAAACTTATAATAGACGGTATAATATTAAGAAGAAGAAGCGGCCGCGAT